GCACGCGCACGCACACACGCACGCATGCACTCACACACCCACACACGCACGCACGCGCACGCACACACCTTTAGATCCCTATAGACGATGTCATGCTCGTGCAAGTATCCCAGCGCGGAGATGATCTCGGCTCCGTAGAAGCGGGTCCGGCTCTCGGTGAAGATGCGCTCCTTCGACAGGTGAAAGAACAGCTCTCCGCCGTTGACGTACTCCATCACGAAGCACAGCCGGTCCGGCGTCTGGAATGAGTACTTTAACGACTGCGAGAGAGAGAGAGAGAAAGAGAGAAAGAGAGACACAAATTAGATTAGATTCGATGTGCGGCGGAGGTGGTATTGCAGTTTGCATTACGATCTGGTGTTGTGATTTTGGTAATGCATTGTGTAGAGATTCAGTATTGCATTTAGTAGCGACTCAGTCTTGCACTGTGCAGCGATTTTATATTGCATCGTGTAGTGACTCAAGATTGCATTGTGTAGCGATTTTATATTGCATTGTGTAGCGATTTAGTATTGCATTGTATAGCAAGTTACTATTACACTGTGGAGTGATTCGGTATTGCATTACGTGTAATGACTCAAAATATTATTGTGTGCAGCAATTCAGTATTTCTTAGTGCCGTGACTTAGCATTGCTTTGTGCTGTATCTCAGTATTGAATTGTGTTGCCACCTAGTATTGTGCGCAGTGATTCAGCATTATGTCATGTGCTATGCTCGTAGTACTGCACGTGCAATTGGAAATGATTTCCGTTTCAAAACACAATTGCCCACGCAAGTGGCAAGTTCAGCCTACGAGCTTGTCATTCTGGCATTCCGCTTCGTAGTGCGTACAGCAAGATAAGGACGAGACGAGCGCGGAAATGCAGCTAGCGGCTGATGTTAATGAAGAGCGCTAATCAAGGAGAAGGAATGTTGATACAGACTCACCGTTAGGAAGGGATGCTTGGTCGTTTGTAGCACCCTGTTTTCGGTAAGTGTGTGTGCGACCTCATCCTGTACAGCCACGAAAAATAACAACATTAATGACATGTAACAAGTAAACAACAACAGCAGCAGCAACAACAAGAACAAAAATATTCCATACCAAAACTACTATGCCTTTATACAATGACGCTCCCCAAACATGGAAATAGTATATTGATGGCAAACTAACAATTGATTGCAATGTATTGATGGGCAATGCTAGCTAATGCCCAATGTTAGACACATGATAGCGGTGTAGGCGACTGAGAAATGTACCTTACATATACGAGAATGAGGGACGACAGTGTAATTGGTTGAGAGATCAAAGTAGAATTCTAGTGCACCGGCTAAAGTAACAAATATCGCTAAATGCACCTGTATAACTGTGAATAAGCCATATCGGAAAGTCCCCGCCGCCATATTGAGATCAAATAAGAGGGGTGATAAGTTGCCTATATATAAGTTAACCTAGTTAGGATAGTACTAGTCTAGGTTTTTGATCTGTAATTCTCTTCACTAACATCGTACTTTAATTCACAGGTCCGTTTCTGTTTACAGAAACAATTACAAATATGATTGTGGTCATTTGTGATATTTTGCAATGTTTGTGTTAATGCAAAAACTAAAAACGCACGAGTGTTTACATTAATCATGTACTTTCCTAAGCGCGCCTTGACCATTTTATATCCCCTTTTTCTATTACCTAAATAACACAGCTGGACTTTCCGATATCACTTATTGCCATGAAACTATTCGGTACTAGTTCAAAGTGCCTATGAAACACTGATTGGTACTTGGCCTCTAAAAAAAGCTATCTGTTTTCTACCAAAATAAAAACCGTGGACCGATATTAAATGTTCCCGTTCATCTTTGCTCGCCTAATTAATGGGTGACAAGCACTCGACCTATTTTATCGGGACCTTTTTCTTGAGTAATTACAAGCATGCAGCACACGCCCACTTTTTGTTTGTGCACAAAAAGCCCAACTGTTCCAGTTTTTTTTTTCATTTTTAACCATCTAAACCCACTTGTCCTTGGATACCGTTTCAGAAATACAATTTAAATTAGAAATGTATACTTTTTGTTTAAAAATGATCTACTAAATGTTCCAATGATTCTCAACTGTGTTAACTTGACCAAGAGATCTTGATGCACTGCTGCCTTTAGTTACATGAGAAAGATTAGTTTAGATGGCAAGTTGGATGGGCACCAGGTCACACTTGACACATTTTCCTCAATGTAGGGTTACCGAGGCCACTTACTTTTCAACAACATTTTTATTTGGAACAAAGATGAATACATACACAACATGGAATATATGTAAAGGACATGGAGGCAAACTAGGTAGGGCAGTGACAGCGATTTATTCACGTAGATATTCGCTATTTTTCAGGGCCACCACGGCAAGTAAGGTGGGAAACCACAACACTTGCTGCTGGAGCTATGGTGATATTTACCTTGGCTATAATGACTTCCTTTTTCAATATTTTGATTGCATATAGTCCACCGGTCGCTCTCTCTTTACACAATATGACCTTCCCAAATGTGCCCTTTCCTAGTACTTTCAATAATTCAAAGTCATCAAGAGCCTGGAAAAAAAGAGAACATAAACTAATTGGTTTTCTGTTACAAAGTGCAACTATGGTGCACGCCAACCCATGATGCTGTAGCATGATGGTGTAGCATGATGGTGATCAACATCTGTCTGCCATGTTAATAAATAAACTAAAAAAAGAAATACAAGGAATGAGAGCCAACCCAACGTTTTTTAGGTTAAAAAAAACCCTAGAGGAACCAGACAATGAATAACAAATACAGATGATAACACGTGGATATCGTGGGCATACGGTGCAATACAGCCTTCTCCGCTCAATCACAGTTGAACACGACTCCCATCGTCGACCATACTCGTCCTAACGAAGCCATCGCGTAGAACATTCTAGGTCACCTCGAAGGCAAGTTTTTTGGCAAGACGTTTCACGGCGAAGACGATCGCAGCGACGATGTATTTTTTTACGCGCGCTTCGGAAACGAAGTAAAAACTAATGCTCGCCGCGTTCACACTAGCAGTCATCACACGGTATCAATCACGCTTGCAGGTCGCAATTTTCCCAGTACTTTCATTAATGGCCTAGAAATACTACAGCAAACGAACGGCACACGCGAATGATCGTTGCTGGCATCGCCACGGTAACCCTACATCTGCTTCACTCGCGCAGGAAATCACTAACGGCAGCCAGCACCCGAAAATTTTGTTGTGAGAAATGACCGCCGACGAAATATTGATTCACGGCAAAACTTGGCATCACATTTCGGATGACAAAAACCGAAAATCGCATGTGATCGTGCCAGCTCGCTTGTCTGCTGCGCACATATACCGACAGCCAGGGCTGCCACTGGCGTTCTACACCATCGTAAAATGCAATAAATAAATAACAGTGGCGGTTTTACTACATTAAGTGGCGAAAAAAATTGGCAAATGATTTAACTGCTGACAAAATTAAGATTGAATAATAATTCGTCAATTCGTCAAAAATCGTCAAATTACAGTGTCATGTAAGTACTAACAAAATCCATCACCTAGTCATATTTTAAACTTAACTTTAAATAAAACAACCTAGTTTAGTGCAGACTAAACTACATTATTTTTATTTTACTTGATTACTATATTAAAAATGTCTTCGTACACTTGTTTTCCCATACCCATTACCTGTTTATGCCTTGCTTAGTTAGCACATATGATAAAGAGAACAGCGGTTATAGTTTTCCATCAGTGGCTAAAAAATTACTTTGGTGGCACAAGTCTTGGCTCAAACTTTAAAACATCCAGAGAGAGCCCAGGACGGTTGCAAACACCAACTAGTGAGTACACATGGTGGAGATGCCAAGGCTTACCTCTGGTGCCAAGTACTCTGGGGTTCCACAGAAAGTCTTCGTCGTAGCACCAAATGGAATGGATTCCTTGCAAAGTCCGAAGTCGGCAATTTTTATGTGACCGTCTTTGTCTAATAGCAGGTTCTCCAGCTAAACAGAGAGGCGGGTTTCAACATGAATAAGAAACAACAACACCACAGCGAGGCAACTGGCAGATGGTTGCACCGAAATCTTGGTTGTCTAATTACACAACCCAGTGTGAAACAGGTATGCCACCGTCGAAACGGTAACGTAATTGCGGTAACACACAGGATGTTACGCAGAATAGAAATTGCTGGAATTGCGCTATGATTGTTGGACACATCCAACACGAAAATTCAGAGAAAACTGATCGTGCTGAAGAGAAAATGAATACGTGTGTTGCCATGGCAACAATAACCATATTTTCACAATGAAAAGACATCCTCCAACAAGGTAGGTGGGGACGCAACACGCGCACGCACACACACACGCACGCACGCACGCACGCACGCACGCACGCACGCACGCACGCACGCACCCACACACGCACGCACGCGCACGCACACACCTTTAGATCCCTATAGACGATGTCATGCTCGTGCAAGTATCCCAGCGCGGAGATGATCTCGGCTCCGTAGAAGCGGGTCCGGCTCTCGGTGAAGATGCGCTCCTTCGACAGGTGAAAGAACAGCTCTCCGCCGTTGACGTACTCCATCACGAAGCACAGCCGGTCCGGCGTCTGGAATGAGTACTTTAACGACTGCGAGAGAGAGAGAGAGAAAGAGAGAAAGAGAGACACAAATTAGATTAGATTCGATGTGCGGCGGAGGTGGTATTGCAGTTTGCATTACGATCTGGTGTTGTGATTTTGGTAATGCATTGTGTAGAGATTCAGTATTGCATTTAGTAGCGACTCAGTCTTGCACTGTGCAGCGATTTTATATTGCATCGTGTAGTGACTCAAGATTGCATTGTGTAGCGATTTTATATTGCATTGTGTAGCGATTTAGTATTGCATTGTATAGCAAGTTACTATTACACTGTGGAGTGATTCGGTATTGCATTACGTGTAATGACTCAAAATATTATTGTGTGCAGCAATTCAGTATTTCTTAGTGCCGTGACTTAGCATTGCTTTGTGCTGTATCTCAGTATTGAATTGTGTTGCCACCTAGTATTGTGCGCAGTGATTCAGCATTATGTCATGTGCTATGCTCGTAGTACTGCACGTGCAATGGGAAATGATTTCCGTTTCAAAACACAATTGCCCACGCGTTCAGCCTACGAGCTTGTCATTCTGGCATTCCGCTTCGTAGTGCGTACAGCAAGATAAGGACGAGACGAGCGCGGAAACGCAGCGGGCAGCTGATGTTAATGAAGAGCGCTAATCAAGGAGAAGGAATGTTGATACGGACTCACCGTTAGGAAGGGATGCTTGGTCGTTTGTAGCACCCTGTTTTCGGTAAGTGTGTGTGCGACCTCATCCTGTACAGCCACGAAAAATAACAACATTAATGACATGTAACAAGTAAACAACAACAGCAGCAGCAGCAACAACAACAACAACAAAAATATTCCATACCAAAACTACTACGCCTTTATACAATGACGCTCCCTAAACATGGAAATAGTATATTGATGGCAAACTAACAATTGATTGCAATGTATTGATGGGCAATGCTAGCTAATGCCCAATGTTAGACACATGATAGCGGTGTAGGCGACTGAGAAATATACCTTACATATGCGAGAATGGGGGACGACAGTGTAATTGGTTGAGAGATCAAAGTAGTATTCTAGTGCACCGGCTAAAGTAACAAATATCGCTAAATGCACCTGTATAACTGTGAATAAGCCATATC